GTACTTCAACAACAAAGCCCGTCTCAGGCATGGCCTGTGCTCCCGCCGAGTGACTTCTGCCAGCACAACGAACCAAACCTGAATAAAACTGGCTCCGTGATGCACCTGCCTTTGGACTCATGGTTTGTCTTTTAGATACTTTTTTTCCACCTGGGTTTTCCAAACCACTTTGATATTGGCACAAGAGCCCCGTGCCTTGGGATGGGCCCTGTATTTATCACAGATTTCCACAGCTGCGTATGCCCAGAAGCGTTTCAGGGCCACCTTCTTCCCTAGCACAGCTAGACCCTAGAAAGTAAGTGCTTCCCGCTTCTTCCTAAGCCTGCTTTTATATCCCTCTACCTCCATTACCATCGTGTCCCTCACGCTCTTTCTGGAAGGCTGTGCCCACTCTCATCCCGAGCCAGTGGCTTTGTGGTTCGGCAGCTCGTGGCCCCTCGCAAAGCGGAGGTGGGCAGGGACCGCTCCGAGGTGGCTCACTTACCGTCGGCAGCGCGTGCTGGGGACCTCCCGCGCTAGAAACGGCGCTGATGGGAACGCCCGGTCCCGCTCTTTGGCCAGGCTCCGCGCTCCCGAGGTGTGCGGACGGCAGCAGCGGCTGGGTGGACGTGCCGTTTGGCCCGGGTGAAGCAGCGCTTGCAGAACAGTCTCTGGCCAGGGCTCCCAGGTGAGGCGCTGGTGTGGCTCCTCGGACGCAAAGCAAGGAGGACGCTTGTCTGGTGGGCACCACGGTGGGTGACACAAGCTGTGTTTGTGGGAAATGAGGTTTTGGGAGGAATGCTTGGGAAGTACAGCACAGAATAATCTTGTAGCTGGATGTGCCCTTAGTTAAGTAGTGAATTAACTGCCTTGCCTGTAAAAGGAGTTTATTTACGGCATGCATAACTGTATTTTTATAGGTTGCTTTGAATTTGTAGCCCGGCTTTCAAAGCAATGAGATTTCAAAATCAGAAATTCAACAGGTAGCTTACAGATTTAAGCTGTTTGGGAAGGAAGCTTTCCCTCTGTGGATGCTCTCCAACGCCTCCGGATCTGGCTCTGACCTCTGAGGTGTGAGCAACGAGAGCTCTTTTTTATACCTGCTCAAAAGCACGCTATGTAGCAGTGAGCAGCCACAGGCTGGGGCTGTCCTCGCCCTGACCCATGCAGGGGCACGTTTGGAAACTCCCGTGGATTAATGACATAGGGCTTCCTCCGCCTCGTGGGAAGCAGTTTTACAGCTGCTGAACTGGAAGACGGTTATTTCATAGTGAGGGAGGAATGCGCCAGGAGCCGTCCTTGGATACAAAGCAGTATTTATATATTTATTTATATGGGCGTATTTACCTCCAGCATAAAACAAAGTCTAAATAAGCCAAACAAAAAAGTGGGGAATCCGGAGACTCAGCACTCAAATTCAGTAAAATATAAATATAAATCAGAAAGAAAGGAGGGAAACCACGCTTGTTCCCCACAAATAAAAACCGATAATCAATAATACCTGCTAAGAACGCAACTCTACAAACTTGCTGGCAATATACAGTGATTAAAGCTGTGACAGCAACATTTAAACCAAACAAATTAGTGCTTTACTTGTTTTTTTTTCTTAATTCTTGCAGTGGTGGCATAGTCTCTATTTACAGGCTTTAAGCTCTAACAGTAGGACAGAATGTTTGTGAATTTGCTTTTGAAACAAACTCCAAAATAGCCAAACTTTGGCAAGTGGCCTCGTTTCCACACTTGTCTTCCTTCCTGCCAAGAATGTCTAGAGAGATGAAGCGTCTGGTTTCCAGCGGAAAGAGAGGGTTTTCCCCAAGCTGTACGGCTGGAGACATCGGCTCAGAGCTCCCTCCGTCTCATGCAGGGAACGGCCTGATTGTTAACTCTCTTGTTACTGATTGGGGATGGGGAACACATCTTCAGTTAGGGCAGAGACACCTTTTCGGGGGGAATCTATGCAAACAGCTGTTTCCGCAGGCTTAGAAGCAATCCTGTGACCCTTTAGTAATTACAAAACCCTTTTGAGCTGCAGCGACTGGTGGAACTGGCATACGCTTTGTGATATACTTTAAGACAAAAGATACTGCTGCAATATAAGACGCTAAAAACTGCATTCTGAATCCCTCTCCTCTTTTGATACCAGGGATTGCTGTCTGCCCGGTGCTGCTCTGCTGTGAAACAGCTGTACGTGGGTAGGGCCTTTGCACTTCAGGTGTTGCCTCATCTCAGTTCTTAAGCTAACTGGCCACCGTTTTTGAGGCACGCAGCATTTTACGCACGTGTGGGGAAACCACTGTTCCCTCGTGCAGTCCTGTTAGCAGGAAAAGGCACTAAAGAGGTTCCCGTAGCCCTTAGGCACTTGGTTTGCCAGGGGCCCTTGTAAACCCCGTGGCTAAGCGTCGCAGGAACACCCGAGGGACTCCATCTCCTCTTGGGCCACCGCTGCCAGCACGTTTCTAGCGATTGATTGATTCCTCCCCTCCAGAGTGGCTTTCCCTGCAGTGGGTGAGATGTTCTTGCGGGTCTCGGCTGACCTCATCCAGGACCACCAGCGAGGGGGTGGATCGGTAGTGGTGACCGCAGGCAGTGCTTTCAGCTCTGGCCCTCACAACACCGCCCATTACCTCTTCAGGGGCTAAACGAGCGCTCAGGCATTTAGCCCAGCTCGACAATACAAGGGAAAACAGCAGGTCTGAGAAAGCTGCCTCTCAGCTGAGCAGACGTCGAAGAGCACGTGGCATCACTCACCTGAATAAGAACATGCCAGACTGGGCTGCTGATTGCCAAGTGGAGAATAAAAGCTGCCAAGAAAGTAACTTCCCACTTTAAGGCCAAGCAAAAAAGCTCAGGGCGGGTGGAGGGAAGAGCGCTGAGCGGCCTCTCCAGAGAGCTACATCAGAGGGTTTCCTTCCCGGTTGCAGGGAGAAACAGAGAATTCTGCTGAGCATGGAGCTGACCTGCTTGTGGGTAGGTACTCCCAAGCCTTGGGACCTCTTGTTCTCCCACTGAGCTCCCCAAAGTCGGGTAGTCCCCTAGCTTCACTCCCGCTTGGCTGCCCGGCATTCCCTGCTCACGCACTGCTTCCTGCCTGCCCAGGCTTCAGTGCATTTTAGTAACTGGAGAGCATCACCAATGTATAGTTAAGTGTTTGCTGCCTGTAGGCATACAGTGGGAATGAAGACCTGACCCTGGAACCGCCCTACAAATAAAGAGCCAGGTCCTTTTGCGGCAGAGACGCCAGCTCCTAGCGATGTCGCAAGGAATTGCAGGGCTGTGACTGCTTTGCTGGGACAAGCTCAGAAAGAAGTTCCGAGATGGGTGACAGGAGATAAAACCGCTCCCCAGGCTGGGGAGAGAAGGCCACGTACGGTCCCACGAGATGTGCGCAGGAACCATCTCTATCTCTGGATAAAAAAACGTCTTTGCAGCTTGTTTCTCCGGAGCGGCAGAGCCAGCCACGTGCTCCTCGGTGCTGGTAACCACATGGCCTGCAGCTGGCAAAGGGATTGCTGCATCTCTCTCTCCTGAAAGCAACAAACTGCAGCAGCCAGAGCCTGATGTTTGGTTCGAGTTGCCTACGTCCAGTGACGGGGCTGCAAGGGGCAAGGTGTGCTCTTCTCTGCAGCCAGCTTTAGAGCGCTTCAGGACTGGTGAGTGGCGTTTCCCCCTCGCCGCCCTTCCCCAGCGGTGCCTGCTGTTTTCTTAGAGAAATGCATCTCGGACATCAGAACCTGGTGGTGGCTCAGCCTCCAGGAACGCAGATGTCTCCTTTTTAGTGAGAGGTGCTGGAGCAGGATGGGGAGGAGGACGCGCGCGCTGGTCGGTCAGTCTGACGTGTCCCAGCACCGCTGTAGCAGTCAGGCGTTAACGTGGAGCTTAGCAGTGGCCCCCTTTGGTTTCCTATGCGAGACACACGTAGCTCAACAGGGAAAGAATTAAGAGACCCATTTTTA